GCCGAACATAAATGGAAGAAGGACAAACTTCAGGTTTCTTTTATCATGCTAAAAACATGTTACAAAGACTATCAGGCCACAGGTAAATCAGAAAAAAAAAAAATCCCAAATTATCGCCTCAACCACAATCCCCGTGTTCTTTTCAACACCATTAACTCCATTTGAACCGTGCCTCAGTCTGCCAACAGGGAGGTCTCTGCAGTTACGTGTGACGACTTTGCCAGTTTCTTTTTTAAAAAGGTTGAGTTGATCAGGTCACTGATTCCTCACACCACAGCTGACCCCTCTGTCTTTGTCCCCTCCACATCAGTCTTTAACCAGTTTGAACCCATTTCCCTCTCATTTCTAAATGACGTCACTGGTCATATGAAACCCTCAGGTTCCCCTGCTGACCCCATCCCTGCATCATTTTTTAAACAAGTCCTACCCTCCATTGGACCCTCTGTTCTTGACATTATAAACAGCAGTATGGCTACAGGTGTAGTTCCTGATGCTTTTAAACATGCAGTGGTAACTCCTTTAATTAAAAAAAACACTGACTTGACCCTTCAACCTGCTCAAACTTCAGACCTATCTCCAAACTTCCCTTTCTTTCTAAGATCCTGGAGAAAATGGTTTTCACTCAATTAAACGGGTTCTTGAGTGGAAATTCTATTCTTGAGATCTTTCAGTCTGGCTTTAAGGTCGTTTTCACACCAGAGAGTCCGGTAGACTCGGTTCGGTTCGGGACCAATATTCATGACCTTTTGTTACATGTGAGCTGGTGCGTTTGCATTCACACTGCACTGTGCAGTCGAGTCAACCAGTTGAAGCAACCTGTTCCCCCGCTCGCCTGTGGGGGCGCTGCACCAAGAACTACTGAAAGAAACGACACAAAAACCTCTGAAGACACGTCTTCTTCTTCTTCTTCTGTAAATAAAAATAAAAACGAAGTGGCATCAAGTTTTATCAGTTTTAGGAGTTATATTTTGTCATTTTTCAAAAATGGACTCAGCATGAGCAGAAGA